AGATGTTATAAAAAATATATTATGCGCACTGCGTAGGGGCGTACATAGTAATTTGTCCAAGGGGGTCTCACATTTTTTTCACTTCCATGAGGGAGGCTCAAAACCTAGTTTGGGGGCCTATGACTCCCCTGTAAGTCATAGATTTTACTGATGCATGGGGGGTATCCCCATTTCCCCCCCCCCCTGTGCACGCCTCTGATGATATGAATGCCTCTTTGAATCAAAACTAAAATGCAGCAAATCCCGAAGTGTCTTGTAGATTTCCAAATAAAATAATTGAAATTAATTCCAATTTAAATCTGACATGAACATTGCACTTTGAACATGTTTCTTGTGACTAAATAATAAAGAGAAGGCAGATTGTGACGAGTTTGTTGGGGGACCATAGTGGTTTCTTAAACAACCAGATAAAAACTTATTGTCGTACGATGGTAGAGAATAAGGAATAATAAGCTTGGAATTTTACCAATCTGGAAATAGTAAAAGCTTGTAATTCCACTGAAATAGAAATAATGAGCTTGTAATTTCAATGAAATGGGAATAATAAGCTTGGAATTTTACCAATCTGGAAATAGTAATAGCTTGTAACTCCATTGAAAAAGAAATAATGAGCTTGTAATTTCAATGAAATGGGAATAATAAGCTTGGAATTTTACCAATCTGGAAATAGTAAAAGCTTGTAATTCTACTGAAATAGAAATAATGAGCTTGTAATTTCAATGAAATATGAATAATAAGCTTGGAATTTTACCAATCTGGAAATAGTAAAAGCTTGTAACTCCACTGAAATAGAAATAATGAGCTTGTAATTTCAATGAAATAGGAATAATAAGCTTGGAATTTTACCAATCTGGGAATTGTAAGCTTGTAACTCCACTGGAATAATAATCAAAACTTGTAATTTCGCCAATCTGGGAATAGTAAAAGAGAAGGTTTTTTGTTTAGTTTAATCTAGAAAAGCCGGAAATTGTGACCGCTCTACTCAATTCGTAATGACTCGGCCATGTCCACGTACGACTTTATTGGGATTAATTCCACTCCATGATGGACTTTATTTCAATAATTCGTTAAAATTCCATCATTTCGTTTCTATCTAGCTTGGAAATTACAAATTATTTCGTTGTTTTGTTTTTAAGGATTTTAAAGGATTAGCTTTTAGTACACTTGGTTTCATTCTATTGAGTTTGAAAATAATTCTTTTCTCGAATGTTCGAAGAAGAAAAATACGATGTTTTTGAATCATCTAAAGATAACATTCTCGTTAAGAAATACATTTACACATTCAACCCATCTCAATGGAGTAAATAAACATCAGAAAATACTTTCAAATTCTTTCAGTTTTTTTAACAACAAACTGTTTTGTCCGTTTCTAAAATATCGTCTATTAAAAGTCAAGTTTTCAAAGAAGATATATATTCACATAAAATGTCGTTTAAAAAGGTTTTTGAAAATAAAATAAATACGGAAAGGCATTTCTATAAAAAGTTAAAGTTTTCAATAAACACTCCCAAAAAAACCCCCACCCAGTCCCTTGATTTTATTTTGTCTGTATAAATAGGTTAATGGTATATTAACGTCTATTTGATCTAAAGATGTATGTTTGTGTCCTCCACCCCGAATTTATAATCTCCAGTAAAAATATTTCTATAAAATAATCCATATTAAACCCCTCGACTGCTATTAAAGTTACTATATAAGCGTTGTACAATGAATTGTGTACCCATCAACCCTAATATATATATTTAGAACCTTTAACAGCCCCCAGGGGACGGAAACTAAAAGGGTTCTCAAATAATTTGCAATTTAAGTTCATAAAATTTCCATTTCTTTTGAAATTAGGTTAGGAAGTGTTATAGATTAAAAATGAGTTTATAAGCTTATATTTATACGAAGAGCAAACCTTACAGTTATGAAAAATTCTTAATTTAATGTATTTCCCTATTAATTTAGATTATTATTAAAACGTTGAAATACCTGGTTGGATTTGGAGCTTAATTTATCCTCTCCTTCGTAATTAGCTTCATCATCACTATCTCCATAATCCATGTACTCATAGTTATCACTGGAGTAGTCATAATCTGTATCAAGCTTGGCGCCTATAATAAAAATAGTAATAATTATAAAAATAATGATAATAAATCTATCCATCCATCCTTCCTTCTATCCATCTATCCATCCTTCCATCCTTTCATCTATCTGAATATCTAAGCATCAATATATTTGTTCTTATATGATGAGTTATGTTTTTGTATCCTGCTTTGAAATCTTATCCTTGACAGCTCAGTTTATAAATCTATGTTCCAACATTAAACTTGTTCAGCTGGTGTTCAGTAAAACATGTTCGGAGATGTAAAATAACATTAATGACGTAATATAAACTTTACATTAAGAAAACAAATACTCCAGGCGTGAGAAAAGTATCAACTGTTAACGAGATGATAAAGTTTTCCATAAGTAAAAGCTAAACAAAAATAAACTTTCCAGTTTTACTTGTTTTTGTAGAACCTATATATTTGGAATTGATAATAATAATTTCTACTAATTCTCTACCCCTATTGATATCCCTATCTACACCCCTCTCTACATTATGAATATCTATACCTGGATTTGATCTCAGGAACCTGGATATAATCTCCGATAGCCAAGATTTGATTAGTTGCAGCATCAGGACGTTTCCAGATTAGGGAGATAGCCTCTGGATAATAATAATGACATAAGTGATAATAATAATAATAAACATATTAAATTTATTACAAAATGTATGACAGACCCACTGGTATATTCTTCGAATAAAATTGTATAAAAACACAATTAAAACCTGTGATAACGTAGTTTAAGAATTAACAGGGATAATTTCCTGACCTAATCTCAGTGTTTAACGTGTTAATCAGGATTAAGATTATTATAATTTTATCCGTTTAAACTTCATCCGCCAGATGTCAGTATCTTTTAGTAGTATATTAAAGTGGAATGTAATGAAATGAGCTGATAAGCTTCTTATCCCCCTCAGGTATAATAATGATAATACCATCAGGAAAGTTTCAAAATAAAATGAGCAGCTTCCCCCAACCCCTATTAAGAACATCCCCCCCAGCTAGAGTTTGGGTCAATCTATACCTGGAAGTTTATCTTCCATACAGTCCAACCGTCCCCCCCCACAGCTAGAGTTTGGGTCAATCTATACCTGGAAGTTTATCTACCATACAGTCCAACCGTATAGTAGTCCCTAGGTCTACGACAATCTGTTTAGGTTGGGTTAATATTACAGGATTCACAAACACTGCTGCCTCCTAAACATTTCATTATTAGTTTTATGATTAATATTCTTCTTGTTATCATAGCTTTTATTATTTGGGCATTCTTCTTTTCGGTTCTTCTCATAGAATGTTTTGGTTAACAACCCAAAGAAATCGAATCTTTGCCACAATCTTGAATTTTCTAATTCCGTTATCTTTGCAACCGTAAATCTTTGATATTTCAAACTTAAATAATTTGATCTGTCAGAGTCATAGTTTAAAATATTTAATGTTGCACTTTTGGCTGCATTTAAGATTAGCTTTACAATTTATCACAAGATTTTATTTTCTCAAATCCTTTCTCGAAAAAAGTGTTCAAATCAAAAAAAAATAATCGTACTTATGGCCGGGTTGTACTTTACTTGCATAAGTGTATCACTGTATCAGTATGCAAAAGCTATATTTTTTTTATTTAAGAAACTTCAGTTTAAAATTATGAGCTCTCAATCTGTATCTGAGCCAACTGTAAAATAATAAAAAATTTGAAAGTTTAAAAATATTTTCCGATAAGAAAATGATCGGTTCCACTTAACTACGATAGCCCCTGTCTCTGAAGGGGGGGGGGGGCTAACCTAGAATGGACGGATTAGGATGACAGGAGTTTAAACCCATTAATTTACTATTTTACTCTTCAAGATTTTTCTAGAGTTAAGTCCTGGCAGACCGAGGAAAAATATTAGATCACTGAACAGAATCAAATTTCACCTTAGATTGTTATACATAAATTAAACATTTTCAATTATTATGAATTGTACATTTTTTATCAAAATTAAGATTTAAATTTGAAAGTCAAATGTTATTTGTGGCCATTTTCAATTTCTTACTAAAATACATCATCTTTATCTTTAGATTAAAAAGAGAGTCATTTAAGTCTGAATTCTTAGTATCTATCCATTCATCTATCCATCCATCCTTCCTTCTATCCATCTATCCATCCTTCCATCCTTTCATCTATCTGAATATCTAAGCATCAATATATTTATCTTAATCTGGTATCAATCATCAGCTTTAGGCCTAGTATGTTATTTTAAAAATTATTGTGAACATGTTTATATTTACATCGTCTTTACACTTCAGCCCTAAACCCTCTTTCTATCTATCTATCTATCTATCTATCTATCTATCTATCTATCTATCTATCTATCTATCTATCTATCTATCTATCTATCTATCTATCTATCTATCTATCAATCTATCTATCTGTCTATCTATCTATCTATATATCTATCTATCTATCTATCTATCTTTCTTTCGGTATGACTTTCTAGCTATCTATCGTTGCATCCACATAACTTTCTATCCATATATCTATCCGTCCATCTTTATATTCATATTTTTATCTCCGAATCAACTGCTCATCCATAAAATTAATTCATTCGTTTTCTATTCATCTGTCAGATGAATAGTCTGTACATGAATACACTGTAAATTGTCAATATTCTGTACATGATGAATTCACTGTAATTTTTCAATAATCTGTACATGAATACACAATTTTATATAATCTGTACATGAATTCACTGTAAATTTTGATATATTCTCTACATGAAAAAACTTTAAATTTTCAATTTAATACAGTGTAAATTTTTAATAATCTGTACACGAATACATTAAAAATATTATACAATCCGTACATGAATACGCTGTAAATTTTCAATAATCTGTACATGAATACACTGTAAATTTTAAACAATCTGTACATGAATACACTATAAATACGGAATAATCTGTAAATGAATACACTGTTAATTTTTTGTGTAAAAATTAAAGTTGAGCGTTTTCTTTGTACATTGTACTCAGTACTGTACATAATACCTCTGAGCAAGAAATTAAGAGAGTATCGTTGAACGAAACTCCTGAGTTTCCTACTTGGAGTCTATGCATTTGTGTAGATTTTTATCGTAAGAAATCAGAAAACAAAAAGAAAATGTAAAGAAACCACATAAAATAATATTTCTTACCAATAATATTGGCATTTACAACAGTGTCTGACCCCATTCATGAAACATGGTTTCTGATACAGGGTTTCATTTCGATACTCTATCTTAAGTTTCGGGCTCTGTATAATACCTTGAACACATATATAGTTTCAGTAGAAGTAAACATTTCCATTTACTGCAGTTCAGCGCCGGTTTAAGGATTCATCTCTGATTGGATAATGAGATAGATAGAAAGATAGATGTTACCGCCATACTATTTCTATTGATTCAGAATAGACACCACATGACTGAACCCTTATTGGATCAGGCGCTAATGGACTCGGCATACAGGAGTGTGAAGTGTAGCGTTATCATTGAATTTATCCCTTCTGCCAAGAAGGATCCGAAATCTGATTCTTCAACAGATTTTTAATCATCTCATTCTTCATCATGACTAATAACTGGTATTATTATTGAATCAGAATACAGTTTATTCTTCATCATGACTAATACCTGGTATTATTATTGAATCAGAATACAGTTTATTACCAGTGAATAATAAGTATAATAATATACAAAAATAACATGTGATGAACTATAGCCGGGTTTTTTACAAAATGAGTTGGCCTTGCCTAATGATAAATAGCCAAGTCTTCTTATAAGAAGCCCTTCCCCATTCCATCCACTATTCTCTATCTTAAGACTTAGCCTCTTTCCTTCCTCGCAACTGTGACTCATACCAAGCAAAACATACACACACCCACAAACCCTTACACACACTTAAACACCCAAACATGGATTTTATAAAAGATAAACAAAAGGAACTGACTTTTTGAAAAAACTAAAACTTTCTATATGATTTATATATCTTTGCAATCTGATGGTGTAAACATTTGATATTTCAATTTTTAATTTTTAATTTTTTTATAAATGTAGATGATGATTTTGTATCCTTGCTTTAATTTCAAAATAATCTTTTAATGAATTTATTTGTTTTACCAGACTGGTGTTACCCTAAACAATTATGTACATTGCACATGTATGAAGTATTTTTATCATTTCTCCATTTAATAGTATTTGTATATATAAATCATCCATCACTAATTGAGTTTTTGACACAAACTCTAATTTTCTAATCCATATTTCTTTGCAAGCTGATTGTGTAAACATTTTATATTTCAAACTTAGATTATTTGATCTATAACAATTCATAGTTTGAAATATCCAAGGTCTACAACATTGGGTTGCAAAGATATAGGGATTATAAAATCAGAGTTTGTGGCAAAGACTCAATTCCTTTGACTCTGCGTACATTACAAATAAAGAATTTAACCTGGTTTCTAAATTTGCGACCCTTCCCTTCAGGTCCTCATACGATAAGAGGATAAAGTTAAAATAAACTCACCACTCTGACCCATTTGACTTTAGGAGCTGGGTTTCCTGTTGCTCTGCACTCCATGGTCACCATCTGCCCCTTCTCCGTCTCGATATAGGTCTGGGAGTGCTTCGTAATAGTTGGAGCAACTAAAGAAAATATTGTTTTTATTAATGTTATGGGAAGAAAACATTTAATATTTTAAGCACATATATTCTAAGAAACGGAATTGTAAAATTGTTCAAATAGTTGATAAAAAATGGCAGATCAGTATGTACTATGTACCTCTAATACTGACAGAATGCCTCAAAGATCCGCTAGATTTTCCTCCAGGTACTCCTAGATCACATTGGTAGGTTCCTGCATCTTCAACCTAGATACATAAATATTAGTATCATCATTATCAGTTTTATCATTCTAATTTATTTTAGAAAATTTGTGGAACCAGAAAAAAAAATCCTGGTTATCTTGATAAAAAACGATGTGTTTCATATCTTGATAAAACACGATGTACTCCTCTATAC